GTGTGTGTGTGTGTGTGTGTGTGTACCTGTCGCCTCTGGCTGAGCGTCAGACAGTCCGGTGAGCTCAGCGAGATGCTGCTCATCAGAACGCGCCGGGCTTCCAGCAGAACCTGAGCACAGATGACAGACGTGAGACATGCGGACGACTAAACGTGAGCAGATCCGCTGAGACGCTGATCTGACCTGCTGCTGCAGGCCGCCCGAGGGCTGAGCGTTCAGGAAGAGTCTGCTGAGCTCCCTGTATGACACGGCAGCGCTGTAGAGGAAGCCAGGAGATCGGATCGCTCCTGTCAGGACCTCTGACGCCACACCCCTGAGAATGCTGGGAAAGGAGCACAGCAAACCCCCATCAGCACAAGAACACATGAATGTCTGGACCGAAATTAAGCGTTTCCTCGCACCTGTAAAAGGCAAACGGCATCAGTCTGAGTGTCTGCTGAGACGTCACACGAGACAGGAAGTGAGACAGTCTGTGATCTAGAAGAGAAGAAACATCACACCTGTGACGTAACGCCTGCAATAACATACGAACACAAACAGCGTCACGCGTTCACACCTGATCCAGACTGATCAAACAGCAGCAGCCAATCAGAATCATCCACCAGATGAGTGAGGAGACACACGCTCACGTCTCTGACGCGCTCCAAACACCCCGCGGCCTGAAAACACACAGCGTCATCATCAGTCACGTTCCCGCTCCTGCGTGTGTTTGAGCTCGTGTCAGTGCTGAGTGATACCTGTTGATTCAGGTGAGCGGAGATCAGCTCGGTTACACTGGAGACAAACCAGAAGAGCAGAACCTACAGAAGACATCAACAGCGTTAGATCACACCAGACCCACACAATTACCAGAAACAGCCCAACTGTCCTGCACAACATTTGATACTGATCCTGCTCCGCTTGCTGATAGGATGACAAACAGTGTGGTTTTTAGGCCTGGTCGAAATGATTGTGATAGCCAATCAAATCAAATCAAAGAAAGCAGGTTTTACCGTGCAACGCTTACGCTTTTAATGATGAAAATGAGAGAGGTAAGATATGGGTAGCTAAATATTTATTATTTGACAACTGTTTTATGATAGAAATGTTAAACGGCCAACAGTAATGTCCAGTGATGAAATGTCAAGGTTCTGAATTGAAAATCATTTACACGACTGACTTAAGTTGCATTGACGTGATGTGAGTGAAGTCACCTGTCTGTCTGTCTCGTGCAGCTGTCGTGCAAGCCTTCTGACGTTCTCCGTCTCGCAGTCTGATCTCCTCAGAGAACCGTGCAGACATGCAGCCAGCAGCCACGACGGAGCCGACGGCACAGGCCACGCACATCCCGCACCCACCCTACACACACACACACACACACACACACACACACACATCATATAGTCTCAGACTGACCGCTGTGATGTGTAACACACAGGAGCAGCAGCTGTGCTTCACCGTCTGCTCCAGCTGTGGCTGTCTTCCAGCATCTGCAGCTGTTCAGGCAGTGTGTCCCGTCCCGTCAAACGCTTCCACTGTGAGCTCAGCGCAGCCGACAGACGTGTCCACCAGCGCTGCGTGACACACACACACACACACACACACACAGAGTCACGCTCACATGTCCACAGGTTTGACAGACAGCAGCGGTGTAGAGAACAGATGTTTTACCGCGGCAGACAGCGGCAGCAGCGGACACTCTGTGTTGAACAGAGACAGACACGCGTTCACCGCCTCGACCGGACGATCACAGCTCACACTGCCACTCACAACCGCCTGAAACACACACTCGTTAGGTCAGGAAGATTTATACTGCAACCACTGTGTGCAAAACTTTCAAGCACTGCCCTTTGACCTTAGACACGGTCACATACTTTGAAGAAGTGAGCCGTGAGTTGGAAAGACAGAAGACCAGCAGGAAGACACGCCCTCCTCTGAGAAACAAATCACACATTACTCACACGTCACATGACCGATCACATGTGTTACGCTGAGGTGAGGATGGAGACCTGAACATGACTGATGTGTTTCATCATTCGCTGGCAGTCCAGAGTCCTTCTTCCTGCTCTGTCGGTTCTGACGGTCAGCAGCATCACCGGAGGAACCAGCACCAGAACCCTGACAGACATGAACAACACTCATCACAGCGGCCGCTCGTCAGCTGATCTCAGAGCTGCACACGGATGACCTGCTCTTACCGGCTGATGTCATCCAGTGTTTGCTGATAGCTCAGCTCGTGTCCAATGCTGTCGGGGTCAGGGGTCACTGAGCACCTGCTGTCAATCACGTCCCAGAAGAAGTGACCCGTCTCCTCTGATGTGTTTAGCCGAGTAACCGCCACTTCATACAATACAGCCTGCAGAGAGACCAGAGTCAGTAAACATGTACTGCAGCAGCACGGTCCGAAGCCTGAAAGTCATGTGACGTCACATTCATTCAGCAGAATCTAGTAACGTAATCTCCCTGATTACATTTCATCCGGATTACATATTCAGATGTACTTAGATTTTATTACATTTTAAAATGCTCATAATCGGATTACAGTTACTTTTTTATGGATTACATGATTACATATTCACAGAATGGCAGCAAACTATGCACAAGTTATTGATTTTTTAAATCTTTCTAAAAAATTTTTAAAAAAAAACTACAGCACTCACTGCGGTTTTCGTGTTTATTAATGTTTGTTCATGTAATGCAGGGATTCCTGAGAATACCCCTGAGAATCTAAGTTAGTTTTTAAATGGCAGACCATAGCGAAAAAAAAATCAGTTTTCAGTAACGCCTGCGACAATGGATTACAGGCACGATTAAAGTGAGTCTAATACAATATAAGTAATGTCACGACGGACACACATCACACACAGCCTCCGCTCCGGCTCCGTTCACACAGGAGTGCAGCATGTAATACTGACAGCTAGTGGTTGAAATGGGTACTGCAGTCCAAATTCAAAACATTGCTCCCCCCCCCTCCTCAGACTTGCGGCTCACGCAGGTTGCCAGATTGAGGACATGTAACAGGAACGAGCACAACTGACAACGGAAAGTGATGAGCATTACACTGCAAGCTGATTTATGCATGTTTTAATATTCTTCTGGTCATAGCGATTTTTAGATGGATGCCGAGGCTTTTTAGCTCGGGTAGAATCTGCAGTCTGAACCAGTTGATTTGCTGGCTTCCGTGCCTGCAATATTCTGTGTTTTCCACCAACTGGCAACCTGTGGTGTCGTAATACTATTGGGTAAACTGGCAGTGGGCGGAGTCACACACCAAAACAAAAACAGACATTCCGACACGGAACGCACAGTTCAAAATAGAATAACTGGCTGTAGCGTTGTTTGTCAGAGAAACAAGTATGTGAACTTAGCATGTTTCCTAAATATATCTGTAAACATATTATGGTATTTTTATGCTTTAGTACAAAAAAAAATAAAAATAAAGCTCCTTGAACGAACTGAACTTGCAATTCAACGCACGTGGCCCTATATGTCAGGATAGGGGCATAAGAAAGTCTCGAGGTTTAGCGTGACAAACAATGCAAACACAAGAACAACAAGCAACGTGCGCATGTCTGGTTTGCAAGGAGAATCTAGAGAATGAGCACCTGTAAGAGCGACAGCAAGTCAGGCAGACAGCCATCTGTGTGTTCATGGGAACTTCCTCCTGTCCGTGACCTACAGAGACACACGCACACGTTAAACAGTGCATGACTGTGCTTGTTCTGAGACGGATGAGAGGAACTTACGCTGTGTGTCGGTCGAGAACCGCCGTGATGATGCGAGCGCAGATTCGAGTGACGTCTCCTTCACAGCCTCCATCATGCTCAGACATGTGCAGATAATACTGTTCACATGCCCACTGCTCGTACTCCTGCCTGGATCACACACACAAGCGTGTCTGGAAAACACTGTGCCCGTCTCCTCTTTCTGCTAGAACTATTTTCAACATGCTAATCAGAAGTTCATAAACTCTAATCTATCTAACAGAAAATCCTCAATGAAGCCCTCACCACTGCAGCGGTCTCAAACCTAAGTGATCTCCCTAAACCAAGTTTTTGAGTTTAAACAACAATAAAAATGAAATAAAATGAACAATTTGTAAACAAAAATCAATAAAACATTTGCACATAAAGAATACACAAACACAGATGTCCATGTAATAGTAATCATTTATATCTTTTCACTGCTGCTCATGTGAAAATCAGTTAAAACCCTCAAAACGAGACCACGATGCAGTGCAAACATTAATTCATGCACAACATTTGCAAAAGCACAGACTTCAGCATGATGATAGCATGCAACGAGAAGGATTACGTGAAGCACATCTGAAGAGCAGTTACTAGAGAACTGTCCTCCAGAGGTGTTCGCTCAGATTAAAGGTCTATCGCACATCCGGAAGCAGGAGTGTTCCAGTTTTTGGCGTGTTGTGTGGATTTGTATGGTTTACCTCTCCAGATCTGTCAGTGCGTCTCGGCTCCGCTGAACATGAAGCTCAGATGAGAGCCACTCAGAGAAAGAGAGCTGATGAAAGAGTGAGAACAGAGTTCAACACCACACATCTGTCAGCTGAAGGCATGCGGGCGGCTCTGAAAGTACCTGATACTGCGGCTGTTTCTTCAGCGATCTGATCTGTGTGTTTCTCCACAGAGCGACAGCAGACTCTTCGACTCTCCCAGTGAGATCAGAAGCGTCGGTGTGCAGATCAGACTCGTACTCATCACTCATGTGCGCTCGAGTCTCTGGGACGAGTCTGGCCATCACATACTGAGCCTGAACACACACACACCGACATGAATACCTGCACCCTGAAGATCAGATGAGCCACTCTCCACATTAACTTCAAACTGGTTTTGTACCTTTTTATAAAGTCTCTCTGGGATAAAGTTGTGGAGTTCTTCTGACTGAGCGTTGGCTCTGCACAGCCCATAAGCGAGAACGGCCACACAGAACCTGAACAGAAACACAACTACTTCACACAGACGTAACGTTACAGATCCAAAATCACGCTGACATGTTTTGAGGTGTGGAGCCAAACCTGAGGCAGAGGGCCATGTGTGAGCGTGTGGAGCAGATCAGAGCATCAGAGAGACACTCGGACACAGAGAGAGCGCCTGCAGAAGAGCCCATCAGCCTCACCGGAGGACACGCGTGTCTGCAGTAATGCAGCTCCACCTGCAGCGCCGCCAAACCCAACACATGAGCCGCGCTCAAAGCACTGCCCTGAAAAACACCAGCAGCGCTCAGTGTTCACAATGCCAGCGGCCACACAGCTGTCTCAGACAGTGACGAGAGCAGATACCTGGTACTGAAGCAGATCCCACAGTCTGTGTATCAAAGCTGAGACGAGCCCTCTGTGAGCCAGCAGAGCCTTCACAAACACACTCGGCCATGAGCCCTGTCTGAGAACAAGCAAACAAATAACGCTAATGTTTCAGCTCATTTGAATGCTTGATTTGTCTTATTTTTAGTCCTTTTAGGTCTCTTGACCCACTGGTTGAGAACTACCGCTCTAATTCTGGCTACAGCAATATAAGCAAGAATGTTCGAATATTGATTATGAATTTACAAATTATGATTATAATTGCTTCATTAGTAGTCAACCTTGCTGATGAAGGCTTAGTCTAATCAGTCTAATCTTTTGAACCAGAACTAAGATGTAGATGACATGCGCCACAGTCTGTGTATCAAAGCTGAGACGAGCCCTCTGTGAGCCAGCAGAGCCTTCACAAACACACTCGGCCATGAGCCCTGTCTGAGAACAAGCAAACAAATAACGCTAATGTTTCAGCTCATTTGAATGCTTGATTTGTCTTATTTTTAGTCCTTTTAGGTCTCTTGACCCACTGGTTGAGAACTACCGCTCTAATTCTGGCTACAGCAATATAAGCAAGAATGTTCGAATATTGATTATGAATTTACAAATTATGATTATAATTGCTTCATTAGTAGTCAACCTTGCTGATGAAGGCTTAGTCTAATCAGAGTCTAATCTTCTGAACCAGAACTAAGATGTAGATGACATGCGTGAGGATGACGGTCAAACCTGTTAGGAGGCTTTACTTTGGACGCATCCAGTAAACACAGACAGAAGCTTTGTAAGATCAGATTGGCGACCTGAAAGATGTAGACAGAGTCAGACTACAAATCGTGAGGCTTAAATAACGTGTCTATCATCTTTAACATAAAAATAAAAAGATGTGCAGCACATTCAGAAAACATTCACAGCCAGCCTCTGAATGCTAACAAATGAAGTACTTCCATCCGATTTGAAATGGGGGTTAACCTGACCGATCATAGTTTTTGTGTTTGGGTCACTGACCTGTTGGACAGTAAGAATGTTTACTGGCTAGAAGTAGCACTGAATTTGTGCCAAACGATCATTTTCAGGTCAAAGAGCAAAGATAAGGGGACTAGAGCTTTGTTACAAGATAAAGAGCCAGCTTTGCATCATTACACAGCAAACCGCTGCATTTATGGCCAGTTCTCTCTCATCACCTTTGCCAAGCATCAAGCTGTAAAGTGTTGAGTTTAGTGTTAATACGGCTTATTACGCCACTGAACCGGGAAGATCTCATAACCTCGTGTCAAGCAATGTGAGGAGAGGGACTCTGGAAGAAGTTGAGAATCTGTGCTTCGCAAGCTGAAACCAAGCACCAAATCCAACAACAAACCACCTGCAAAATGAATGGAGCAAATCCCAAGGAGCTGATAATGAACTTGAGCAGAAAGAAAGGTCCATTTAAGCATGCAGAGATAATGGCTGGAGTGTGAATGCTTTCTGAAGGAGCAGTAGAAATCTGAGTTCATACAGCAGCGTGTGCCGAGTCAGGTGAATCCCGGTTCAGTGTGATGACATCACTTCCTGTCTCTTCATCAGCACGCACATTCCTCAAGGTCAGAGAGATCCTGGACAGCTGAGCACAAACATCTGGCGTGACAAAACAGACAGCAGGGTTTAGAGCTAAAACTAACAAAACATTTCTTCAATAGAAAGAATATTCTTTTAATGTAATTTTATTAGTGCTGTCAATCAATTCCAAGCATCAAGCTGTAAAGTGTTGAGTTTAGTGTTAATACGGCTTATTACGCCACTGAACCGGGAAGATCTCATAACCTCGTGTCAAGCAATGTGAGGAGAGGGACTCTGGAAGAAGTTGAGAATCTGTGCTTCGCAAGCTGAAACCAAGCACCAAATCCAACAACAAACCACCTGCAAAATGAATGGAGCAAATCCCAAGGAGCTGATAATGAACTTGAGCAGAAAGAAAGGTCCATTTAAGCATGCAGAGATAATGGCTGGAGTGTGAATGCTTTCTGAAGGAGCAGTAGAAATCTGAGTTCATACAGCAGCGTGTGCCGAGTCAGGTGAATCCCGGTTCAGTGTGATGACATCACTTCCTGTCTCTTCATCAGCACGCACATTCCTCAAGGTCAGAGAGATCCTGGACAGCTGAGCACAAACATCTGGCGTGACAAAACAGACAGCAGGGTTTAGAGCTAAAACTAACAAAACATTTCTTCAATAGAAAGAATATTCTTTTAATGTAATTTTATTAGTGCTGTCAATCAATTAAAAAAATATTAACTAATTAATCTCACATTTTTCTGAAATTAATCACGATTAATCGCTGCTAACATTGAAGTTTTTGAATATACTTTTGTATTGCAATAATTTCACATTCAATCTTCAAATAAACGTAGAAAAAACAAAGACAGTATATTAATAATATTAGTTTAATGGCATCTTTTTTATGACTGAATAAATAATAATAATATCACTGATATTAATACTACTGATGTCTCTATGAAATTGTTTTTTTTTTGTCAAATATTTAACCACCTGAGCCATTCAACATTACAGTATATCTGAGAGCTATACATTTTAATATTTATTAGACTTTAAAAAAATAACAACTTTTAATTTAAGTGAACTTAAAACAATCTTCACATAAACCCATTATAATACATGTCATATTTAGCTACCTGTGCCCTTCAGCAAGTAGGAAATATCAAAGTTATCAAACACTAAATTCTAAATTAAATATAGATGAATCCATAAAGCTCTTTTTTTTCTTTTGTTCTTTGATTAACAGACATCTCAGCAGCTGGTTATGAGGTTATTTTGGCTGCTTTAAGAGCTGCTGCTGCTGCTGAACGTGACGCGGATCTGACACGCAACTCTTCAGCTCTTAAAGTCTCTGTAATGAGCTGAGGAGTTGATTCTGGTGTGTTAGATGAGGAGACAGTGCTGGGCTGATCCAGGACAGTTTGGAAAACCACTGCATTTCAGAGACATGTCCTTAAATGGGACTCATATATAACAAATACGTAGATGCATGCACAGTTTTAAAGGGATAGTTCACCCAAAAATGAAAATTCTGTCATTAATTACTCACCCTTGTGTCGTTCCAAACCCGTAAGACCTTCGTTCATCTTCGGAACACAAATTAAGATATTTCTGATGAAACCCGAGAGCTTTCTGAGCGAGAGCTTACTTTTTGTGCGCAAAGAAAACAAAAATAATGACTTTATTCAACAATCCTTCTCTTCTCTTCTGTTGAATAAAGTCATTATTTTAGTTTTCTTTGCGCACAAAAAGTATTCTCGCAGCTTCATAAAATTACGGTTGAACCACTGGTGTCACAAGGACTATTTTAATGATGTCCTTACTACCTTTCTGGGCCTTGACCGTGGTAGTTCCCTTGCTGTCTATGCAGGGTCAGAAAGCTCTCGGGTTTCATCAAAAATATCTTCATTTGTGTCCCGAAGATGAACGAAGGTCTTACGGGTTTGGAATTTTCATTTTTGGGTGAACTAACCCTTTAATGCAGCTTTAATCCATTTTTGATAACTTCATGACTTAACTGATGCCATAATTACGACATTGCATGCTCGTAGTTTCTTTTGCGCTTTAATGTGAAATGATATACTGCGCGCGGCGCCACATTTGTGCGTGCAATTTAAGAGCATTTGCTACGAGCACAGTATAACGGCTGACAGAACAGGAAAATTGGCTTTGACTGGCATATGGCCTGACAGCATCTCATCTGACCGCAGTTCACTGTTCTACTGAAGCTCCTCGTCACCTGTATCATTTCCGCGCTCGTTTGACTCGCACCTGGCACTGAGGTGAAGTTGGAGAGCGCGTCTGAAAAGTCTCCCGTTTGATGTGGTTGTAAAGATGTTCTGCGTCTAAATAAATGCAATTCTTGTCGGGGGAAAAAAAAGAGACCGAAGCAGCAGTTTCTGCTGCAAGCTCAGCACCTGCGTTATTGCATTAAATCTTTTTAACGCGTTAAAACTGAAAAAAATAAATAAATAACTGCAAGCGTTTGTGTTAATTTTGACAGCACAAAATTTTATATCATGAATAACTAAGGTATACCTTAATTTTGATAGCTAGAAAATGTGTGTGTGTGTGTGTGTTTACCACCGTCAGTGGCCCCATCAGTCATCATTCTCCTCAAATGAAGAAACTGTTCCTGTAGAACCAGCAGGTGATCGTCCTCACTCGACTCACACACACCTCAACACACAAACACACACATATTAACAAAAGAACAGCTCTTATTAGCATTTACTCAATGAAAACTCATTAAACCCACAATGGTCACTACAGAAAAAAATTGTACAACGGTTACCAATATATTTCAAGGCATCACAGGCACATCTACAATGTCCACAAATGCAGTCTATGTACAGTCAATGTGTACTGTAAAAACAGTAGACAAAATCTACAGTGAGCTGTGGACGCATAAACCCAGAGCTCCTTTAAACACTGTAATGAACACAAGTCTCACAAGATGTCCTGCATAATGTAGAAGCATTCGGAAACACTGACATCAGTGAGAAAATAAATGCACACATAGCTATAAAATTGTGACGAGTGGTGAATTCAGGTCACTCTGAGCGGTTCTTTAATTATGGACCCTTTTGACTATTTGAAATCATGAAAATGTCACGTGTGTTAAAGCATGAACTACATGTCCTGGAATGAAGATCTGATCATGGCCTTCATCATCCCTCAGCTGGTAGTGTTGTGATGTTTCAATTTCAATTTGTACTTATTAACTTCAATTAAAATAAATGCATTGCTTGATAATGACACCTAATAAAGCTACTCTCAGATTATGATCTTTAAATTAATTACTGATTTTTAAAAGGTCACTCTGCTGTCCTGTTAGATATTTACTAACATTTATGCTGTCACATCCTATTTCCTTGATAAGCACATTAGTTTTCTAGAAAAACCCTCAGCTGTTCTCTGTAAACTCTGTAGTTGCTTGTTGTGATAGTAATATCAGCAGGATCGAGGCTGGCAATTCTATGTTCTAACAAAAATACAAATTTGTACACATATATAGCAAATGAATAATAAATAAAAAAAAATATTTCAATTAAGTATCTTTAAAGTTACAATTTACTCTTTAAAACTAGAATGATTTGAAATATGTATTCTTTACATCATCAAAGTGGCAGAAATGATGTGATGAAGCACCTTCTTTCTGTCTGTACGTCTCTCTCCGACAGGATTCTGTATATGACGTGTACAGGGCGGCGGGAATCTTATCTGCCCTATTCATTTCAAACAAAACAAAAAACACAAATACAAACAAACATTCAAAAAACATTCATATAAAAGTCACCAAACAATTCAAACATGAACATTTCCAAAACCGCTAAAATGACGTACACTGTTCTGTTAAAGTGCATTAATAGAATGTGTAATAAAGTGATGCCTACTTTCTCAAGGCCTCAATGAACACCATTCTGGCATCTGACTTCACAGGAAGCTGCAATGAATAATACAATCGGATAACCATTCAAAACCAGTTCAACATTTCATCCATGAAGCCCTATAGCATCATATAGTCCCTTCCCTACATAACCTACTGCATGGGTTACATGGGATCTCCCTCAAGAGATTCAGGGTTACAACCATAATCTGAACTTCTCTGTCAGCTGACATCGTACTGTGAAGTACAAATGCCCTTGTGTCAGGACAGGACCTAATGGATGGATAGATAGATGCCCATCCTCCATCTAAATCTCGACCGAGTCGACTGAAAGATGACGATGATACTCACCACACGTGGAGAGAGGAGAGCAGGGAGAAAACGAGACAGGAAATACGGCCTCCTAAAAATACTGAAGACAAAGAAAACTATGCTCACAATACAGTTTCAATATATGTGTGTGTGTTTGTGTGTATCTGAGAGTACCTGGCCTCTATCACTGTTGCTGGGATCTTATTGGTGGTCATGAAAAGTGTTACGGCCTTCTCAACATCCTGCTGTGCTGGACACTGAAAATACATTAAATTACAACAGTTTCAGGTTGTTGATAAAGCTGAAAAAACTAAATTGCACAAAAAAAAACAACAGAATCATGTTTGCATCCATAACCAGAGTTGTTTCATTTCTCCTGTCGGCCAGATATGGTGTTACAGGAGTAGATGACCCATACCAACAAAGTCACAAGTAAAGTAACAGAAAACCAAGGATTACTGGTGAAGTAGAGCCTAACTCACATCCTGAGATGAAGAAACACTGACATTCTCACTAAAGTACAGGGAGAGGACCATCTCGCTGCAGCACAGAAGTTGTAACAGTCTAAAAGACTATTAACATGTTTTTCTGTTATGTTTGTTGGTCACTATCAAGGGGGCGCT